GGGTCCCAGCCCGCGCGCCTGGAGCTGCTGGTGGAGCCGCTGCGCCCCGAGGGGCTGCCCGTGCCCCCCCGCCGCTGGGGCCGCCTGCAGCTGCTCTACTCCGAGCCGGCTGGCGCCGCTGCGCATTAAACGGGAGCATGGACACGTCCATGCGTCCGTGCATCCGTGTGTCTGCGTGCATGGGGCACTTGCACGGGGCAGGGAGAGTCGAGAGCAGCCGATGCCGCTCGGGAGAAGGAGCCCGTGGGCTCTGAAGCAGCTGCTCTCTGGAGGGTGAAAGGCTCCCGAGGGCAATTCTGGGAAGGGTCCCGTGGGGCTCAGCCCCGGGTGGGACCTGCTGCTGCTCCCGGCATCCCCGGCCACTGCTGCCATCCCCAACCTGCCACCAGCACCCGCCAAAGCCTGAGTCCTCCTGGTTGAAGAAAGAAATCTTTATTAATAATTTCAATAATAATAATAATAATCCTTGTAGTAATAATAATAATAATAATAATAATAATAATAATACTGTTTATTAGGATGTCACACCTTTGAAGCATACGGCGCGCCGGGGCCGGGCCGGCGGGGGCTGCCGCGGGGAGAAGCCGGGGGAGCGGAGGGGTTTGTACAGGGGCGGGGGGTATTTACAGCGGGAATAGAAAAGGAGCGCGGCGGGACGGGCGCCCCGGCGGCGCGGGGCGGGGGCGCAGGCGGCTTGCAGGCTCCTCTTAGCAAAAATTCCCTTTAAAACGCAGAGGCTCTTCCCCCCGCAGCGCGCGGCGGCTCCGGCCCGGCCGGCTGAGGCCTCGCGCGCTCGGCGCACGGGCGCGCGGCCCGGGGAGCAGGGCGCGCTCCCCGCCAGGAAGACGTGGTGCCGGCCCCGCGCTCCGGCCGCTCCGTGCGCGGGCTCTCCGCGGCGCCGCCGGCTCCCTGCTCGCGCGTGGACGTGTGGGACGTTTCATCTGGCTGCCGCCGCTCTGATTTTGTTCTCTTGCTTTGCCTTTAATCTTTTTCGTTTGGATTTTGTTGTTGGTTTTTCGTTTGGGTGGCTTTTTGTTTGCTTCTGCCCTTCCTGGTCCCAGAAGGAAACGGCTGCAGTTTCACTACAAGGCAAAGGCAGAGCTTGCACTGGAGGGGACGGCCCCGCGCAGGCACGGTGCTCCCGCGGCGCCGCGCTCGCTCCTGCCCCGTGCAGGGAGGGCATCGCGCTGGGGATGCCCAGACCCTCCTGCTTCCCAGAGGATGCTCGGGCCGTTCCTGTGCCCCGGGAGATGCTCTGCTCCCATGGGGGATGCCCAGACTGCTCCCGTATTCCAGGGGATGCTCAGTTCCCACAGGGGATGCCCAGGCCATTCCCATGCGCTGGGGGATACTCATTTTTTTGCTGTGCCCCAGGGGATGCTCGGGCCCTTCCCACGCCCCAGGGGATGCCAGGGCTGTTCCTGCATCCTCAGAGGGAGGGCAGGGAGCGGTGCTGCCCAGGCGGCGCTGCCAGGAGCAGGAGGACGAGGAGGAGGAGGAAGGGGGTTCCCGTGGTGCAGCTGCTGGCATCGGCTCGGGAGCGCACGTGGCGCAGCGCTGCATGGCATGGTGCAGCATGGCAGGGAGCAGCACAGTGCAGCGCAGCACCATGCGGTGCAGCATTGCATGGCACAATGCAACACAGCATGGTGCAGCACAGTGCAGCGCGGCATGGTACAGCACGGTGCAGTGCTGCATGGCACGGTGCAGTGCTGCATGGTGCAGCGCGGCGCAGCACCGCACGGCACGGCACGGTGCAGCGCAGCACGGTGCAGCGCGGCGCAACACGGCACGGCGCAACACGGCCCGGCGGCCGCGCGCTGGGTCGTCGGCAGGCTGGGCCCTGCTTAGGCCGCTGGGCGGGTTTGGTGCCTAGCGAGCAGCCAGTGTTGGCAGTGTGAGGGGCTGGGTCTGTCTTGCTAGTAGGGAGTGAAGCGGCTGTACCCTCCTCGGTATAGACTAGCCTGCAACATCAAAGATGAAAGAAAGCCAATCAGTATGCGAGCGAGCGGCCCGGCCCGCCTCTTCCCGGCTGCTCGTTCCTTTTAATTTTCCAAATGGTGCCGCCCGGGGAGCGTGCGGGGCGGCCGGAGCTGCAGCTCGGGGCTGCTCGTCCTGCCCGTCCCGCAGCGCCGGGGGCCAGGGCGTAGAGCGGGACCAGGCCGTCCCCGCGGGCACGGTGAAAAAAGAAGTTAAATGAAAAAGGGAAGAGAAAGGCGGGCTGGCTTTAAACTGTCCCCACAATAGGGTTTTCATCTTTGATGCTGGCTGCAAGGCTACCTGGAAGGGGCAGTGTGTGGGCTGCAGGGTGCCGGTGCATCTGCACGCTCCCCTGCGCACTGGCTCCCTGCATGCATACATGCATGCACGCTGCCCGGGCTGGCACCTGCACCGAGCCCCAGTGCAGGGGAGGAGCCGGGTCCTCACCACGGCACAGGGCAGCGCAGGGCAGCGCGGGGCAGCGCTCCCTCGCTGGGCATGCCAGGACTGTGGTCCCTGGGGTGAGAGATGCTGGCACACGGACGGGCTTGGCGCTGCAGCGAGCAGCACCGCACTGCACCGTGCCATGCTGCACCACACCGTGCTGCACCACACCGTGCAATGCTGCACTGCATCACACTGCATTGCACCGAGCTGCACCACTGCGCTGTACTGCACCGCGCCACGTTGCACCGCGCTGCACCGCGCTGTGCGGGTCCCCGTCCCGAGCCGCGCGCGGGCGCCGCAGGGAGCCACGGCTGGGGCTGCTCTTACCATGGTGCCGATGCTGTAGGTGGCGGCGGGGCCCATGGCGTGGTGGTAGGGGTCGGCGGCGGCGTACACCCGGCCGTAGCTAGGGCGAGAGGAGCGCGGCCGTCAGGGGTGGCCCGTGCGCCGCCCGCCGCGGCTGCTCCCGCCGCAGCCCCGGCCGGGCTTGGCACAGGGGACTGCATGTCCTGGCGAGCGCGGCGCTGCCCGGGCGGGCGCGTGCGCTCACACTCACCTGTCGCTGTAGGCGGTGGCGGCTGCGGGCTGCGCGTAGCGGTACGCGGCGTAGCCGCCCTGCAGCGCGGAGAGAGCCTGTCAGCCTGGAGCCCCGCGGAGCCCCACGGAGCCGCGCGCCGCTCAGCCCGCCTGGGCTCCACAGCATTAACCTCCGTGAAACTAAACTTTCCGGGCGGAATGTCGCTGCCCGCGTGGCACTAATCACCCCCTGCATCCTGCCTGCATCCCAACACGCATCCCGACACCTCCCCTGAGCAAGGCAGTGCAGTCTGCAGCCGTATCCCAACTTACGGCACACCAGCACCTTTTCCCACCCATTCCCCCTGCTGCTGGGCAGAAAAAGTAGAGGGATGCAAATGGTGCTTGGTGCTTGCACAACACTGTGCAAGGCCATGCAGTGCCATGTAAGGCCTTACAATGCTGCACCGTGCAACGCCGTGCTGCAGTATGCAATGCTGTGTAATATTGTGCCATGCCATGCAATGCTGTGCAATGTTATTCAATACCCTTCAATGCCGTTCAGTGCCCTGCAATGCTGTGTAATACTGTGCAACCCTGTGCAATGCCATGCAATGTCCTGCAGTGCCATGCAATGCCACGCAATGTGATGCCACCCCGTGCAATGCTGTGCCACGCTGCAGGCTGTGGTGGAAGGTGGCCCCCCTGTGTCCCCTGCCCCTGGCCAGACCCAAGCACTCCCTGCCGCTCGCGGCACTTACGTAGATCTCGGCCCCGTAGAACCCGTCCTGGTAGACAACCCTGTGGAGGAGGCAGCGGAGATCAGAGCCCGAGCACATGGTGCCATGTCCGCTCGTGGCAAAATGTCTCTGTCAAGGCCCTGCCAGGGCAGCACAGGCACCAGGCAGTTCGGGGACACTGGACAAGGAGGACACTGGCTCCCAGTGCACAGCATGGACTGGTCCTACCAGCGCCACAAATGCAGCACAGCCCAGGGCAGGGCGAGGGCGCTTCTGCACCCGTCTGCATCGTGGGGCTCGGGGCACGAGGCTCACAGGGAAACAGCCCGGGAGGATTTTCTGGGGATGGATTTTGCACAGGGGGCTGCAGCGGGGACACGAGCGCCGGTGCCAGCGGCAGCGCACAGGTACTCACGCGCCGTACGCGGGGATGGGCGGCGGCGGCGGCGCGGCACGGAACGTGTTGTACACGGCGCGTCCTCGTCCCCGCAGGTGCGCTCCTCGGTAGGCCACGGCCGTGCCCGTGGCGGGGTACGGGAAGCCCGTGACTGCGGGACAGAGGCCGCCACGTCGGCACGGCGCGGCGCTGCACGGCGCAGCTCCCAGCCGGCGGGGACGCGGCGCCCACCCTTACCTGCATAGAACTCGGGGCCGTAGACGGCTCCCACCACCGGGTTGAGCTTCCAGCCTGCGGGGGGAGCGCGCGTGAGGCCGGGGGCTGCCGTGCCGCAGCGGCGCCGGGCCCGGCCCCCGTCCTTACCGTTGGTGTAGGGATTCGTGGCCTTCTTGTTGGTCATGACGCGGGCCGTGGCGTTGTTCACCTGCGGGATGGGGCACGGCTGCTCAGCGCCCGCGTACAGCACCCAGGGCCGCACGTAGCGCCCAGGGCTGCCGTCGTGGCCCCCGCGCTGCCACAACGGGGACTGAACCCTGCATGGGCTGGGAGAGCCGCACACTGCCCCGTGCAACGGGTCCCGCTGCGGCACGCAACGGGTTCTGCTCCGCGCACAACGGCTCCCGCCGCCGCATGCAGCTGCAGAACCCCGCGAGCTCCCACGGGCACAGGCAAGCTCGTCCCTCGATCCCCGCAGGGATGCAGGGATGTCCCTGTGCCTGGCCGCTGCCGCCTGCCGTCCCCCCGTGTCCACCCCGCGGGTGCTCTGTGGCTCCACGCAGACTTGTTCGCGGGGGTCTCCGGGGTCGGTAACCGCCGCCAGCACCGGTGCCACCCACGTCCCCAACCCGGCGCACGTGCACAGCAGCGGGGACATGCACGGGGGACAGGGGGGCAGGGCAGGGCGCGTGTCCCGCTGTCCCTGCGGTGCCGGGAGCCCGGGGAGGGGACACCGCGTGGGCAGGACACTAGCACTTATCTGAGCACCTCAATCTTCCGGCCCTCTACGATGGTGCCGTTCAGCTTCTCTCGTGCCCGGTCGGCATCTGCGCTAGTTTCAAAAGTTACAAACCCAAACCCCTGTGAGCAGAGGAGGAAGGAGGAAGGAGACAGAGAGAGACAGAGAGGGGAGCGGGGCAGAGAGAGAGGGGGTGAATCAGGAGAGCTGCAGGAGAGACGCGGCGGCTGCGGCGGCTCCCGCGCGGAGCGGGACGAGGCGCAGGATCGGCCCCGCAGAGCAGGGGGCTGCACGGTGGGCACGGCAAGCGGGGCACCCACCCGCACATGGCGGGGACACCCCTCCATCCCGCCGCGCTCCGCCTGGGCACCCGCCACCGCTGCCAGGCTGGAATGGGGACACCCCTTCCACTGGTGACACCCTGGGGCCACGCATGTCCCCATGGCTGGGACGGTGCAGTCCTGGGCACGGAGATGGTGCAGCCCCCGGGCTGGGAACGGTGCACGGCCCGGATGGGGACACGGCCCAGCTTCAGGCCAGGGGATGCAGGTCCGGAGGGTGGGAATGGTGCTTGCCCTGGGGCCGCGGCACAGCCTGGGGACAGGGACGGTGCCTGCCCTGGAAACGGCCCTTGCTCCAAGGAGAGGGACGATGTGCGCCCTGGGAAGGGGGCTGGTTCCTGCCCAGAGACGGTGCCCACCCCCAGGGAGGCCGTGGCCCCGTTCCACTGCACGGCCGGCCTCGGAGGCAGGTGCGAGAGAGGAAGAGAAGCAGCCGGGGCAGGAGAGGAGAGGGAGAGCAGGAGGAGAAGCTGTGGGTGTCCCGGAGCAACGCGCTCGCCCCGGGGCCGCTGGCCGCGCTCGCGCCGCCGCGGCACCCACCTTGGAGCCCCGCTCGTTGAAGATGATCTCCACGTCCAGGATCTTCCCGAATTGCTGCAAGCGGAGGGAGAGCGAAGCAGTGAGCGGGCAGGGCCGGGGGCTCTGCCCTGCGACCCCCCGTCCCTGTGCGCGGCCAAACTCACCCCGAACATTTGCCGCAAGTCGGGGTCCCGGAAGCGAAAGGGGATGTTGGACACGTGTAACCGCTTGGGCTGCTGCTTGTCCGCCGTGTCTGAGGAGTGGAGCTGCTGGCTCTCTGTCTGTGCCGCGTCGTCTGTCTGCTGCGGGGAGCAACGGGAGCCGTCCCGTGGGCTGGGGCTCTGCGTGGGCGCCGACCCCAGCACCTCCCTTCACTCAGTGCCCAGCACCCAGCTCCCCGCTACAGACCTGCCTGCGCCAGGGGTCCCTGCAGCCCCCCTGCATGGCCCTGGCCCCCCTCGTGCTGCTGGAGGGGATCTCGGCTCGCAGGGCACCAGAACACCCTGGGCAGGGGACAATGGGGCCCTGGTGTGTGATCTTGGGTGACGGAGGGACCCTCGAGCTGGTGGCAGCAGCGCCCGCAGCCCCGCGGTGCCGGAGGCCGCCGTGCTCACCGGTGCCGCCTGCGTGGCCGCGAGGGGCTGCGCGCTGCCGTCGCCGGCGGGCGCCTCGCCGTGGCTCTGTGCTGGTGTGTAGAGGCTCAGCGCGTGCTCCGGGACCGTGCTCGGCGCCGCAAACTCGGGCGTGGGGTGCGGCGGCGGCGCGAACTCGCCGGGGAGCCCGTTCTGCGGCGGCGGCGGCGGGAACTGGGCCGGGGCGTAGGGCTGCGCCATCGCGTCCGGCGGCGCCGGGGCGTCCTGGTTGCCCTGCCGGGAGACACGGCACGAGCCCCGTCGTGGCTGCGTGCCCCATGCATAGCCCCCCACGCCAAGCCGGGTCCCTTCCCCATGCAGCAGCTGCTGCTGCAGCGCACCCCCATGCATCCTGTTGCGTTGTGTTGCATTGCGGTGCATGGCAGCGCAGCGCAGCACACCACACAGCGTGGCTTTGCATTGCATTACATGATGCAGCACGGCACCGCGGTGCAGCCCGGCCCCATCACGTTGCAGCCCCGCGCCGCGGCCGTGCAGCGCGGCAGAGCCCGGCCCATGCCCAGGCACCGCGAGGAGCCGGGACAGCCCGCGGGACAGGGGCTCCCGGTCACTGCGCGCGGGCGCCGCACTGCGGCCACCGCCGCTCCGGTCCCGCCTCCCGCCGCTCCGTGCAAGCTTCCCATGCGCCGCCCGCCCGGCGCAGGAGATCGTCTTCAGCTGATTAAATGTCCCTCATTAATGAGCTTCTTTAATTAATGAAGTTCCCCATTTGCTCCGCTCGCTCCCCTGCCGCACTCTGCCTCCTCAGCACAATCCCGGCCCTTCCCTTCCAAGTCATTTAGCGCGTGGGGCCGCTTCTGCCGACGCCGCACTTTGGCGACGGCACCGTCACCCGGGCCCGGTGGCTCCATTTTTACCATTTCATCCTTTTTAAGAAAACGCCAGGGCAGAGCCCATGTCCACGCACTGATGCCCACACTCCAGCCCTGCTCCGTGCCCATTGCCTGCAGTTCTGCGGCTTTTCCAAGCAGGAAACACCACAAATTTTGGATGCCGGTGGCTGTGGGCAGCGCGGTGCAAGCGGAACCAGGAGGTTGCGCTGGTGCTGGTGGCTCGAGCGCAGCCGGCACCTGTGTCCCCACGGGGACAACCGGGATGCGGGAGCGCACGGCCCTGGGCAGGAGGGACGGGGTGTCCGGCCGGGGCTCCCGGCTCCGCCAGCCGGGAAGTTGGGAGCTGAGGCAGCATGAAATATTCATGAAGTAAATGGTGCAATTTCATCTGCATTCAGCCAACTTCATGTATTTTTCAGCGCGTTATGAAATGATAATGTTGTGTAACTGAGGCGTGCGGGGGGCCGCGCGGGGCTCCCCCCGGCCCATCCGCCCCTCGCCCGCCTGGGAGGAGGGCGGTGCCGGTCGCGGAGCCGCGGTGCACGGGATGCGGGATGCTCCCTGCCGAGTCCCGTGCGTGCACAGCCCGTGGCACCCATGCAGCAGCCGGGATGCTGGGAGCTCCAAGCCTGTAAGGCAGGAACCCGGGAAAGGCGGGAATGTGCAGGAAAGCCCTGGCGGAGGATCGGGGACACGCCGTCGCAGGAACCAGTCGGGAAAGGAGGCGCATCCTTGGCAGCGGCGGGTGACGCATGCACAGCTGGGCACGCAGCTCCGCGCAGCCCTGCACGGCGGAGGATCCCGGATCCCAGATCCCGGATCCCGGCAGAGCGACGAGGCCAGGAGCAGGGCGGCTGCCCCGGCGAGTGCTTCCTGCGGCTCCGCCAGCAGCACGTTCCCGCGCGCACACGTTTGCCTGGCCAGCCGGCGCAGGCCAAGCGCTTGCGTGCACACACGGAGCCCGCTTGCTCGCACAAACCTCTCTAATAGGCAGTCAGGAGCATAATTTTTCCTCTAATTACATATTCAGCACTTCTGAGAAAATGAGATTTTGGTAATTCAATTGGACTGAGAAGCAGGGCTATAATAAAATGAAATTTGTAACAATCGCACAGTTAAATTAGTTAAATGGAGAGGAAGGAGCTGTGGAAAATTGACCCCTCGATCTCCTAAAGACTAATCAGAGATTTGATCCGAGCTGTGCTAACACAGCCCGGGGAGGCAGCGCCGGGACGCGGCGGGGCCGGAGCTCCCGCGTCCCGGGAATGGCCGGCCCGGTGCTCCCTGCACCCCTGCCACGCACCACGGGGACACAGGGACACGGGCACGCAGGGACACGGGGACACCGCGTGCACGGGGACGGCCGCAGCGCACACCTGCGCACCACAACTGCGAGCTGCCGCCGCGGAGCAGGTACACGGCCCTTAGCCTCCATATCAAGTTTGTTGCTCATCTCCTTTAAAACGCTTTTCTCCCTTCTTGTGTAAAAGGAAGGGAGAAAAAGCCGTGTTTCTCATTTGCAAGTTAATTAGTCTAATTAACTCTAATTAAGAGCTCCCCACACAATGCGGATGGCAAATAAGCTGCCTCCGCCGCCTGCGCCCTGCGCTGCTGCCCATCCTGGACGCGGTGCCGGTGGCTGGAGCAGGACGTGGCACGGCCGAGGGCCAGGGCAGGGCCGGGCGTTGTCGCCTTCCCAAGGGAGCAGTGCCCGGGCTGGGGCGCCCGGCGCATCCCCATGCCGTGCGGTGCAGAGCGCCCGGCCCCAGCGCCACCGCAGCACCCGCTGCAGCGGCTCCCTGTTGCTGCGCGCTGCAGGGCACGTTGAGGGCCGCGTTGCAGGACGCACTGCAGGGCGGCCCCGAAGCCGCTGCCTCCCGCAGCGGCGCAGGCTGCTGAGACCCTCGCACCGCGTGCGCGGAGCCGCGGGGCGTCCGAGCGCTGCTGCGGCACCGTCCCCATCTGTCTCGGCCCGCGGCTGCTCCCGCCATTGGCCCCAGGGATCGCGTCTCGGCAGCAGCGGCCTGCGGCAAATCCTGCTGATCCTGCACACACAGGCCCCACTTGTGCCCAGGCTCCCATCAGCACCGCACACCTTGTGCCAAGGGCTCCCATCGGCACCACATACCCTGCGCCGAGGGCTCCCATCGGCATCGCAAGCTCTGCGCCGAGGGCTCCCATCGGCACCGCACACCCTGCTCCAAGAGCTCCCATCGGCACCGCACACCCTGCTCCAAGAGCTCCCATCGGCACTGCACACCCTGAGCCAAGGGCTCCGACCATCACTGCAAACCCTGCTCCAAAGGTTCCCATCAGCACCACACACACTGTGCCAAGGGCTCCTACTGGCACCGCACACCCTGCATCGAGGTGTCCCACTGGCACCACATCCTGGCTCATCTCCACACACACTCCTTTGCTTCACGCTTTGAGCTTCCCTGCTCAACACCTCCGTTTTTTCACCCCAAGTGAGAACAGAACCAGCTCTGCAGGCAGTGCCGGCCACCAACGCTTGCTCCCGCTGTGCATTTCCAAGCCCCATGCGGGCCCCGTGTGGCACCCTCAGCCCCTGAACTGCCCCGGCACGAGGCGCGCAGCGGCTCCCGTGCGCTCCGGGTCGGCACCGGCAGCAGGAGACGGGCGAGAGCTGGCACCGAGCGCGCAGCCCCAGCGGCCGTGCAGCCAAATCCCCGCCGTGACTCTGCAGATCCCGGGAGCAGCGGGGAGAGCGGGGTCCGGCCGTGGACGCCACAACCCCCCGGCTCCCAAGGCACCTCCCGGGGGGCACACGGAGCGCGCGGAAACGCACAGGCAGGACCCCGCTCCTGCCCCGTCAGCCTCCCCTCTTGTCAAGCCCCATCCCTCCAAAGACTGCCTTGGATGCTTTAAGGAACCAGAGATACTAAATCTAATTTAATCTACTCCTTCACCCATCACCATAGCACTAAAATAAGAATATACCTATAAAAAGAGCATCGCCAGGCAGGGTGGGCCTAAATTATAGCTATTGTGGGGAAACCAGCTTTGCAAAAGCTAAAATTAATGCCAGTGTTTTTGATATATCCAAAAAAAAAAAAAAAAAAAAAAAAAAAAAAAAAAAAAGCTTTTTATTTTTGTGGCTTTAACACCCCTCCTTGGCTGCGCACAAGGCGGGCGCTGCAGAGCGGGGCGAGCGCCGGGGCCGCAGCAGTCCCATGCAGCGAGCGCAGAGCTGGACGAGCAGCTTTCCAGGAGAGCCCCTGGCTGCAAAGCGCTGGGATGCTGCTAGGAACAAACCTGCTCCCTAAAAAATATGGTGCTCCAGACTTGGATCAGCCCCCTCGGAGAGGAATTCTCCGAGCAGCCGTTTGCAGAGGCTGGTGCTGCCCGGGGACAGCTGGTGCTGCATGGGGACACGGTGGCTCCTGGGCAGATCCCAGCCCCGCTGCAGCTCAGACTGCCCTAAGGCTTGGCCTGGTTTGGACCAGCAGCTCCCGAACTGCGGTGTCCAATGGCTCCCGGCATTCCCGCAGGTCTGGAGCGGGAACCGAGCCCTGCTCGCCAAGTGCCACCATCCAAGGCCGCCTCCGCACTCTGCTCCTGGCCGAGCGCGCTCGGCATGGTAAGGACGCCCAGGCCAAGTCCCGGCATTCCCGGCCCTCCTCGCACCGCCGGCATTCCCGCGGCTCCGAGACACATCCCGCCCTGCTCCGCTCCTCGGCAGCCGCTGCAGGAGCGCGGAGGCCCCCGGGCTGCAGCCGTGCAGCCCCCGCGGCGCCAGCAGCTCCGCATCCCGCGGTGCAGCCCTGCTCCAGAGAGGAGGGAGCTCCGAGTGGGAAGTTCGTGCAACTTCCCACGCGGATCGGCCGGGACAAGGGTGGTTCCAGCAGCAGGTCCACGCGAGGCCGCCCGCGCTGCCGCCAGGGCAGGAGGCGCTAGGAGAGCTGGAGGTGGCACCGCTCGACGCCGCGCGTGGACGGACGCAAACGGAGCGGGACAGGGCCCAGACCCGCCGGGTGCCATGTGCCGTCCCCAGCGAGACGCTTCTCCCTCTCAGCGGCCGTCCGTGCCACCTGCGCAGCACGAGGGCCCCGCGGGAGCCGCTCCGGGCCCTGCAGCCGGCAGCAGTGCGCTCGGTTCCGGCAGAGCACCGGGGATCCCGGCCAGCACGGGAATCTTGCGCCTCCGCCTGCCCTGCTGCCCACAGGACCCCCAGCTATGGGCATCCAGGCAGTGAGGGGGGCTCAGGGCAATTCCGCTGTGGGAATTGCCCTCAGGTGCATGGGGAGGCCGAGCCTGCAAGCCCCGGTGCTCTGGAGCTGTCACGGTGGCTCTGTCGGCAAGAGGGGGCATCAATCCCATGCCCGCTGCGGCCAGCCCATGCAGCACCACCCCATGCACCAGCCGTGCACCAGTGCCGTGCACCCCATGCACCAGCCCATGCACCAGCCCATGCACCAGCCCCGCACACAAGCAGCCCCAGGAGCAGCCCTGGGCTGGGGCCAGCCGGGCCCACAAATCCCGGGCACGGGCTGCACAAGTGGCCCACGGGCACAGAGGTGCCACATGCTCCCAGCTGCTGTGAGCCGCCAGCCGGGGCACACCGGGATTCCCTGGGCTGCAAAGGGGCTTCCAAAGGAAACGCTTCCCTCCAGAGCGGCACAGCCCCAGCACCGCCGGCCTGCGGCCTCACGGAGGAGCCTCGGCTGCACAAAGCCCTGCCGGGAAGTTCGGGACCCAAATGGATGTCACCAGGGTCCCTGTGTGGGGCTGCGCCAGCCCCCGCAATCACTGCACCCGCCAGCCCTGCCGGGTCCCTGTGCGGCCCTTCCATGCAGATGGAGAGAGCAGACCTGCACCTGGATGCAGATCCGGGACACACACAGGGTGCTCATGTGCACACACGCATGCACACATGTGTGCATGCACCACCAGCTGCTATTTCCCTCTCCCATGTCCAGCACCCTCCCGCTCTCCAGGGCAGCCTCGAGGCCGGGCAGGCGCTGGAGCCCGTCGGGCATCTCGGCTGCTGCAGCCCCCAGTCCGGACACCTCCGAGACGAAGCTGCAGCCACGAAGCGGCGGCTGCTGCCGCAGGAAAAGCCGCCGGCGCCAGGGAGGCCGCACGCGGCTGGAGAGGAAGCGGTTAAGCTCTGACCTGCGCCCGGAGCGAGCACGTGCGAGCTGCAAAGCGACAGGATCCCCCCGAGGGGTCACTTACCTGTTGGAGGTAGAGGAAGGCTGGAGGACAGGGGAGAGAGTGAGGAAGCATGCCTGAGTTGGAGACAAGGAGGCAGCCCGAGTTAGCCATGGAGCACAGCATGCGGTGACAGGTAGCCGGGAGCTGCTGGCACTTGCGTCCTCTTCTGCGCACCGATATCCTCCGTCTTCCGGGCTCTCCCCCTCGCGCTCGCCCGGCGCCCGCCGGCCCGGCCCGCCGCTCCGCTTAGCAGGAATTCATCGGAGGCGCCGGCGCTCCGCTCCCCGCCGGAACAAAGCGCGGCTCCCTACGCCGGTGCCATTAGGCGCTGGCACGGCGCGAGCGGTCTGCAAAGGGTGTGCGTGAGCGGAGGAGGAGAAGGGGAGAGAGAGAAAGGAAGGGGAGGAGGAAGGGAGCGAGGGAGCGGAATAAAAGGGGTGGGAGCTGCAGGAGGAGGGGGAGTCCCCCGTGCATTCAGACATCAAACGGCTCTGCGTGAAACCAAGAGAATCCGTAATGACACGAGAACAGCTGATCCCGCACTTAACCCCTGCGCTGCCGCCGCCAGGCTGGGCCACGAGGGAACGGGCGCAACGGCTCCCGTGGGAGCGGGATCCAACCGGGAGCTGCCATGGAGCAGAATGGGGGTCCCTGCACTGCGCGCCCACCGCAGCACCACACCTGAACACGCATGCACACGCCACACCACACCTGCACACGCGTGCACACGCGTGCATCCAAGGTGAAGCCCTGCACACACATGCACACGGGAGGAAGCCCGGCACACGCGGGGCGCTGCGGCTCTGCCCGCTCACACCGGTCTCGCGCACGACGGCGGCTGCGCTGCTCCTGCAGCCACGGCCGGAGCACGCCGGGCACACACAGTGTGGGCGAGGGGTGCATGCACCCGCAGCCCCGCTCGCCGCGCTGGCACGGCCGGCTGTGCTCCCCCGTGCTGCCTGGCTCGCTCTGCGCTCCAGGACGTGGGAAAGTGAAACCCAGGGCCAACTCAGCTCCCGTCTCGGCCAAATGTGATGCACAAAGGCAGGTCGGTGCCAGCAGCCGCTCCTGCTCCGTCTCTGCCGGAGCCTCCGGCACATGCACAGCCCGCCCGGCGCCTGGGATTTTCCACAGCATCCCCCAGCACAGCGACACGCTGCAGTGTCCTGCGCCTCGCCGCAGCCCCGTTCCTGCTGCGGATCCTCGGGCAGAGCCCCACGGCTCCCCGTCCCGGCCCATCCATCCCAGCCCCGTGGAGCCCGGCCTGGAGCGGCCCCTCCGAAAGCTCCTGGAAGGAAAGTTTATTTATCTGTTTAATTAAGCTGTGTTCACCAGGCGCCCAGACCCCGCTCCATCTGTCTCACTTGCAGCCAAGCCCCAGTAAAATTAAACCTAATAAATATCAGGCGCAGGAAAGCAAAGGGCACACACGAGATATACGAGCAAAGGCCCAAGTTGCACAGGGCTGCACTTCTGAGCACATCTTTCTCGCTGCCCTTCGGGGCCGGGCTGGCGACGCGCTCCTGTGCGCAGCATGGGGCTGGCTTTCCTTCAGATCAGCACTCTTTCCATTCGGTATTTATCTAAAACAAATCCTCGAGGGCTCCTGGGTTTTGTTTAGTGGAAGGGGAGGAGGGCGCGACGCCGGGTCGGGCGCCCGGCTGCTGCGGCAGCGCCGGCACCGGAGCAGGAGCCCGGATTCACCCAGCCCGGCCCTGAGCGCAGCCCTAACCCCAACCTGCAGGACGAGCAGGGAGCCCCGGGAGCGCCCCCAGCCAAGGCTTCATTAATTAAAAACTCATTAGCAGTTAGGCATAAAGCAAGGGGATGGAGGCTCCTGCAAGGTCTCCGCTTCCTCCGCCTGTCCCAGCCAAATGCCCCAGCCAGATCCCTGCGCATTCAGCAGGGATCCCTCGCTCCTGATCCCTGTGCATTCAGCAGGGATCAGGAGCGAGGGATCCCTGCGCATTCAGCAGAGTGTCACCCGAAGCTGCCGGGACCCCACGTCACACACGGCCCGTGTGGGTGATGCCACCAGCACCGCACGCGATGTCACCAGGTGGGGAGGGAACCACGACCGGCTGCGGATAACTGGGCCAGCAGCAGTGGTGGCAGGGCCGGGAGCGGGAATGCAGAGGAAGCCCATGAAACTTTAATAGGAGCGAGGGAAGAGCGTCGCCACATTCCGCTCGTGCCGTGCGCCAAGGGGAGCTGGGGACAGGGCTCCTGCAGCAGTGTCCCCCACAGAGCCACCTGCCTCAAGCGCGGTCCTGCCAGCCACCATGCCGAGCAAAGGCCCCAAACCACCAGGTTTTGCTCCCAAGAGAGCCCTGGCAGCCGGCGGGGCACGAGGGCAGCGGCTCCATGAGCTCCTCACGCAGGCAGGGTCTTGACAGCCCCTAAATCTGCCGCGTGGCCAGGGCAGCGCTGCGGAGCGCAGGGACCGCGCGCGCTGAACCGGCCACCGCAGCGGGGATAAATAAGGGCCAGGGATGCTCTGCAACGCGCTCGCGGGGCCGCGCGCCCGCACCCAGCGCGCTCCGGACGCGGCCTCGCGCGGGAGCCGCATGGCGCATCCCTACCTGTCACACGGCCGAGGTCCCGCGGCGCTCGCGCTGGGCTCTGCGGAACAACGGGAAAGAGAAGGGCCGTCTGAGCGCGGCGCCGGCTCTCGCGCCCGCTGCCCGAACACCCTGCAGCCGGCACCAGTGTTGCCGCCCGGTGCGCGCCCGAGACGAGGAGCCGCTCCGGCTGCTCCCGCTCTGGCAGGACACGGCCGTCGCCGGCACCAACTCGCTGCCGGTACCCGCGGTGCCCCCCGAGCCCGGCGCTGCCCCCCCAGCTCGCGCCCTTCTTGGAGAAGGGCCCCAGGTTTCAAAGAAAACTTCCTGCAAGCGGCACTCGCACTAATTGGCTTTTGCAACGTGGCCAATGCGCGCGCTCATAAATCACGTCAGACCCTCGGAAAGAACGAGGGCGGCTTGGACAGCGTGAGGTGCTGGGGGGTTAGGGCCCGATGCAGGGGCAGTTCTGCTGCCAGCTGCTTCTGCGGGGAGCTGGAGGTGCCCAGTCCTCCAGGCGCGCTGGTCCCTCTTCCCAAAGCGCTCCCAATGCGCTCCCACGTGCCAGGGAGAGCCAGGCGGCTGGCGGGCTCGGAGGGGCTGCACCGGGCACCCCGGCACAGCCGCGGGCAGCGCCGGGAGTGAACACGGCGCTCGCCACGCAGCAGGGTGATCAATTATGGAAATTCCTGCCTCCGCGCACCGGAGCGTGGTGGAGCGCGGCTCATTAGGCCAGGGCTGCCTTCCATTAACGCTCCGGATAAAATCCCTCCGGAAAGCGCGAGCTTTCCCGGGGCAGCCCCGCGCAGCCCATGGGCATGCCAGGACTCCCAGGCTCTTCCTGGGAACACGGCCCAGGCTGCAGCGGGAACGCACCCCAGAGCCGGGAAACCCAGCTCTGCTTGTCCCAAGAATGCACAGAGACAGCCAAGGGCTCCATTGCAAGTGGGAAACCGCCTCCTGGGAGCTCTTTGCTCCCTGCGTCTTCTCCAGCATCCCCAGGAGCCGGAGGATGATGCTGGACACAAAGGACCAGGAGCGGTGGGACCAGCGCGGCTCCCGGCCGCGTGTTCCCCAGCAGAGCCACAGCACCTTTTCTTTCGGCACATCCCGAGCCGCTTCTCCACCACCAAAAATCCTAAATTAATTTCGCTTTTAATTAAATTCATTAGCAAAGATTATCTGGCTGAGGAAAAATAATATCCCGCCCCTCCCCCAGCAGCCCTCTCTATTTATATCCCCTATATACATAAGCAGCAGCGAATATTTCTTTATGGGCCATTAAAGGTTTAATGTTTAATTTATAACCACGTTCTCTGGCGAGCGGGATGGCCAGGCACAATGTCAACACTTTTAATTAAATGAGAGGGGGTTTTTTGAAGCTAAGGACGCGCGGGAGCCGCAAAGGTGCCAAAGCCTCGCACGGGGCTTGCAAGGGTGCGGGTCCGCAGCCACCATGGGCGCCCGAGGCTGCGGGAAGCACCAGGGGCAGCTTCCCAAGTGCCGCCCGCGGCCCCTGCCCAGCCCGGGGGAGCAGAGCCGCTCCGCTTGCCCCGAGCGCAGACGCGTTTGCAAACGGTGCACGCACGGGCAGCACCGTGCGGCGGGCAGGTGCCATCCCCAGAGCGCTGCGTCCTAAGGGAGAGATTAGAGCCCTGCACAGAGAGGCGCAAAGGAGATGAGTCAGCAGCTGGCCGAGGGGCCGGCAGAGCAGTTGGCTCCACTGATGCCTTTCAGCCCTCCCGGGAACTCCCGATGTGCAGCAGGCTGCGTCCTGCTGCATGCATGGGCTGCAACCTGCTCCCTGCTGCTGCATGCACCAGCATTCATCCCACTTCCCAACTGGCATGCACCAGGCTGCATCCTGCTCTGTGCACCGGGCTGCATCCCACTCCATGCTTGGTGCATGCACTAGGATGCACCTTGCTTCCCAACCGGCATGCACAGGGCTGCACACTCCACCTTTCCTATCTCAGGGACAGCCCCAAACGCTGTCACTCCAGCAAGGTGCCCAGTGCCACCAGTTCCCACAGCGGGCACCCTCACAAGCCCTCGCTGGTGCCGGGTGAGACTCGCGCTCCCAACTGCGGCTGCTTTAGCTAGGGAGCCAAAGGAGGAGCGGGAGCCGCGAGCTGCTGCTCCTGCGTGCAGCACCGCGCGCATGCACGCGGGCTGCAAGCGTGCTGGCCGCAGCGAGCCCAGCGCTCATGGCACCGTGCCGCTCACTAAAAGCATGAGTGTCACTAAATCAATAATTCATTTACTTTAATGAGATAAGTACTTTGAAAACTAATTGCAAACCTGCTCCATTTACTCCAACCCGTTATAGCCTTTAATGTAAATGGCAGGAATGCTGCTGGAGGCAGGGGAAGTTTTGGGGGAGGCAGCAGGTCACCCCGGCTGTGCCGCTGCGGCGGGCGGGATCAGCCACCGGGCGGGCAGGGGCCCAGCTGGGAGCAGGGGCTCCCGGGAAGCAGCGCGGCACACGGTGATCCCGAGCACTGAGGGCTCCTCCCGGCGTCCCGCGCTCCACTCTTCCCATCCTCGGCTCCTGCCAGGCTCCAACTGCACGCAGCCCCAGCCCAGGTCACCACGGCAGCCTCCTCCCGCCATTCCCACCATTCCCGAACCATGGGAGTCTCCGGAGCGGTGTGTGGTGCCCAGCACACCCGGGCTTCACGCTGGGCTCCGGTGACATCCTTGGGAAAGCAGTGGCGTTCCCGCACGGCGCCTGGAGCGGGAGCCCGGCGCCAAGGGCTCGCTTCCCGCTTGCTGGAGCAAATGGCAGGTCGTAAAAAGGAACCGTGACAGCAGAGAAAATGTTCCAGCGCCCACGAGGACCTGGCCAGGGTAAATCCATCTGCTCAGCAATTTAGCTAGAAAATCCTTCCCAATCACCCGTGCTGCCGGTCTCGCACCTCGTGCTCCGAGTTCTGGGCAAAGCGATTCCCGCTCCGCTTCCCACCGTGCCGGCAGCCCCGAGCGGGAAGGGGCAGGGAGGGGATCCCTGCCCGGCTGGGTGCGGAGCAAACCCGGCACGCGCCCACACCGGCCACCCTTGCCTGGGAGATCGGCAACAACACCTCAATTCATCACACGGGGCCACTACCTGCCCCGGGTCCCCTACCTGGGAACACGGCTAGTGGTCACCCTGCACAGAGCCCTTGTGGAAATCCAGCCACAGGTCCCATCCCGGCACCTGGAAACCCTGAGCGAGGCTCCCGCGCTCCCGTTTCAACAGAGCCGATGGATTCCAGAGCCCGGTTCCGCCCTTGCTGCTCCTGCTGCTCCATACAGGATGTCTCACCCTGTCAGAGCAGCACAGCAGGAGCAGGGCTGCAGGCTGGAGCGCCTTTCACCTCCTGAGTGACAGGATTGGGTGCAGCTGGTGCTGGGCCCACCTGGGTGCTGGGCCCACCTGGGTGCTGGGCTCACCTGGGTGCTGCGCTCACTTGGGGCTCGCCAGGAGCAGCCCCTGCCCGGCATCCCCATCCCCTCCCCTCCGCTGCAATGACATTATAAATATTATAATTTGGTTAAATATTTAGCACAGCTAGGTTAAATAAGCATTGCCAGCCCCATAAACACTTATTAACGGCGGGCTCTGATTGTGCTGCTGGGATTGTGCTCGTGGCTCGTTTAGTGGGTGGCTGCTGTTCCCGGGCCCCGTTTGCCCCCGCACCAGGACAGAACCGGTCACACATGCCGTCCCGGGAACCAGGGGGATGTGACCAACAGGCGCTATCCCGCTGATGATCCCATGGACAATCCTGATCCGGGGACAATCCCATGGGCCATCCCACTCCAGGGGTGATCCCATGAGCAATCCTGCCCCAGGGGCGATCCCGCTCCAGAGGCCACCCTGCTGTCCTCTCCACTTGCATCCCAGGACAGGAGGGGACGCGGCAGTGCAGCAGGGCCCGGCCGCAGGGACGCGCATGGCCGGAGCATCCCAGGGGCATCCGGAGCAGCGGCGAGCCGGGGGAAGGCAGCGTGAGCGCGGGGTGGCCGCAGCCCAGGACACACCGGACGGGGAGGCTTTTGTCACCAGCACAGATCTGCTGCAAAAGTCACGGGGAGCAATTGCAGGACAGAAGAGAAAAGCCACCGGAGCGCGCGGGGAGCTGGCCGGGGGCCAGGCCTTGGAGAGCCGAGCCGCGAGGCCAGAGCCAGTGCAGGAAACCTCCCCGAGGGGCCGCGCGACGCCCGCAAGAGGAAACGGGCTGCTCCTTGCGAGCTTCGTCTCATCCCCAAACGAGAGACTGCCGCTTTTTGTAAATAATCCCCAATTAAGGAATGCCCCAGGAAGAGCTGCCGGGGCCATTCCGGCAGGGATGGACGGGGCACTCCCTGCCTCCCCCGCTCCCATCCCACCTGCGGGCGGGAGGCAGGAACCCCGGGTGAATGAGAGCGACTTCTGTCACGTTTAAGAGCAATTCGTTCTGCAGAGTGCTGACTCAGCGGGATCGCACAGCCCGAATTTATGGTTCTTGAGAGACGTGCGCAGGAAGGCGGGGGAAACACCCTGCTGGGCACCCGCTGTGTGCCAGGTCCTGCCTGCCCCTGCCCTGCACTGCCCCTGCCCCGCGCTGCCCCTGCGCTGCCCGCAGCCCCGATGCTCCCCGCAGGGCCGGGACCCCTGCGGCGCAGCAGACGTGGGGCCCCGATGTGTCCCTTAGCCTGGAGCAGCGGAGCGGGAATCCCGCCTGGCCAGGACTGCTCCGTGGTGGCCGCCAGCATGTGGCACGGCTGCAGGTGGCAGCAGTGCAGGGAGCCGCAGCCAGCAGGAGCTGCAGCAGCAGCATGCAGAGCTGCAGCAGTGCATGTATCTGCAGCCAGTGGGATCTGCAGCAGCAGTGCGCAGAGCTGCAGCAGCGCATGTATCTGCAGCCAGCGGGATCGGCAGTGGCAGCATACAGAGCCACTGCAGCGGTGCCAGGATCTGCAGCCAGCAGGATGCACAGCAGCCGCACGCAGAGCTGCAGCAGCGCATGTATCTGCAGCCAGTGGGACCTGCAGCAGCAGTGCGCAGAGCTGCAGCAGCGCATGTATCTGCAGCAGCAGTACGCAGAGCTGCAGCAGCGCATGTATCTGCAGCCAGTGGGTTCTGCAGCAGCAGTGCGCAGAGCTGCAGCAGCGCATGTATCTGCAGCCAGCGGGACCTGCAGCAGCAGTACACAGAGCTGCAGCAGTGCATGTATCTGCAGCCAGCGGGACCTGCAGCAGCAGCAGGCAGAGCTGCAGCAGCGCATGTATCTGCAGCCAGCAGGATCTGCAGCAGCAGCATGCAGAGCTGCAGCAGCGCATGTATCTGCAGCCAGCGGGACCTGCAGCAGCAGTACGCAGAGCTGCAGCAGCGCATGTATCTGCAGCCAGTGGGTTCTGCAGCAGCAGCACGCAGAGCTGCAGCAGCGCATGTAT